GAGGGGCAGGGAGAGGAGCAAGGGGAGGGCAGACAAAACACTAAGTGGATGTGGCATAACTGATAACGTAATGAGCCAGGGGGTCTCCCGGCCCTCTGACACTTGTGCGCAGTAATCGACAAAAGAGTTGAATTATGGATTGGAATATTGGGATTCGACTGTATCTCGGAGTCGTCTAAGAATAGCGAGGCCTAAAGTTACCTTTTTGAAATGTGTTCGACCTGTGCAGCCCAGGTTGGAAACTCATCTGTCATTAGGCCCGATGATTTTGTCTTCTCAACTCCCCTATAATAGGTTGATAGCAGGATCGTAAGTCATTTGGCTAAGCTTTTTCGCCGAACCAATTATAATATATCACCGGCAATAATATTTACCTCCGCCAGGAGGTTATGTAATCATCTGGGTTTGTTACCTCCGCCAGGAGGTTATGTAACCATCTGGATTTGTATGTGTGCGTGTATGTGTGTGTGTGTATTTGTCTGTGAGCACGATAACTCAAGAAATACCAAACATATTCATACGAAATTTTTTGAATGCATTTCCCATCGGCTAAGGAAGAACTGATTAAAATTTGGTTGAATTTGGTTAAAAATTGAACGAGAAATGAACAAAATTTTGTCTTGCTTTTCCCGGTCAATTATAAAAAACTCACTGAATGCGTAATTAGGACGTGTATAATGTATGCACGGAGTACTAAGAAGACAATGAGATGATAAACCTCATTAAGCTTCAGCCCTAATTGTCTATTGTCTTAGTTGCATTTCACACGACCGAAATTTAATGTGGGCGGAGGTATGCAGTCTCTGAGTGCCCTCTAGTTAAAATATGCATTCAAACATCCTTAATAATTCATAAGCTTATTGGCAAATCATGTCAACCATAATATGTCACGTGAAGAGGCTTTATACCTGATAAAACTCATCTTTATTAATATTCTTTATATAAAAGTCCATTAATTAGTATTCTTTATATAAGAATACTAACGACTAACGAGACGGCATCTATTATAGTCGTGTTTGAAGTACTATTTAAAAAACGAGCAGGAGTGTTTTATTAGGTTTAAAGCCACGAGCGCGCAGCGCGAGTGGCTTTAGACCTAATAAAACACGACCCGCGAGTTTTTTAAATGCTTCAAAAACGTATGCATAATAAGTCAAATCTTTATATAAAAATCTTTATATAAAAACCTTTATATAAAGAATACTAATTAGGATGGACTTTTATATAAAGAATACCAATAAAGATGAGTTTTATCAGACATAAAGCCTCTTCACGTGACATATTATGGTTGACATGATTTGCCAATAAGCTTATGAATTATTAATTATTAAGGATGTTTGAATGGATAAGTTGTACATTTATACACGATATTATATTCGGTGGCTCTTAAGCTATACTCATCGGGTTTGTCTCCTTCGAACGTGTGTTTAAACATACTCTTCTGGATTATTATTTAACGGCTTTGTTGTAATCTGGCTCATGCAATCACGCAATGTACCGAATGATGATGTCATGCCCACATTAACTTTTCTGTTACTGTGTCTGTGAGGGGGTAGGTATTTTTCGAGTTAAGCTCTTTTCGTGTTAAGCCCCTGCCACGCCCTTTTTCGCCGGGGGCTTAACTCGAAGTCAATTAACGATTTAAGCATTCGAGTTAAACCCCGACATTTGGTGGATGTAAACAAGTGACGCGTGTATACAAAAATATTGGAAAAATTAGGAGGGAGAATTGGGAATGTAAAATTTCAGCAATTTTTAGAAATATATTTTACTAAGATCTGTGTTGCTTTGCCTACAGTTTTATACAGACAATGCTATCGTGAAATGAGAGAACTCAATAAGGATTTGTAAAGAACAGCTCATTCAGGGCGGCAATTACGGCTTTAAAAATAAATAATATATAGCGGCACTTGCAGAACGCAAATCGTAGTAGACATGTTCATATGGAGGTGAGCTATCTTTCTAAGATATATCTCTTCTTCGAAGTAGGGGACTTGAATACTAGAGCGTGACATCATACTGAATTGTTTCGTTAGAAAATGGTTTTACTGGCTAGAACTTCATTCTTGATCATTCTGAGAATATCCAAACAGTACATAATCGTGATATTTTAGTTTCTTTTACCGTTGTTGATTGTTGATTGTTGATTGTTATTCGTTGCCGTTGGTAATTTAATAGTGGACATATTTGTATCTGCATGTTATCCACTTATTACGTCCGAAGCAGGATCGAGCCCAGGAACTAGAACCTAGCAGTCGCACGCCCAACCTTCTGAGCTGCTGTCGAGCTTGCTGAAGTCCTTCTAAAAAACGTATTTTATATCTCTCTAATGTTATAGTGACTGCCGGTCATTTAGTTTGTTTTTTTTCATAACCGTGACCGGCTGCCGTTCATAAAGTCAATTAATAATATACCGGTATTACTGTTGTTCCTATCTGTTCTCTCTCTGACAGGTTCTTGATAAGATGAGTTATGATTGTGTCATGTAAATAGTCACTGGAAAACTATAAAACAAGTTGACATAATATTCTAGTCCTAGATCTTGTCGTTGCCGAGTAAATCAGTTAGAAAAGTAGCTCGCCTCCATATGAACATGTCTACGATTTGCGTTCTGCAAGTGCCGCTATATATTGTTTATTTTTTAAAACCGTAGTTGCCGCCCTGAAATAGCTGTTGTTTACAAATCCTTATTGAGTTCTCTCATTTCACGATATCATTGTCTGTATAAAACTGTAGCCAAAACAACAGAGGTCTTAGTAAAATATATTTTTAAAATTGCTGAAATTTTACATTCTCCCTCCTTATTTGCCAATATTTTTGCGAGTATACACGCGTCACTTGTTTACATCCACCAAATGTCGGGGCTTAACTCGAATTGCTTAAATCGTTAATTGACTTCGAGTTAAGCCCCCCGGCGAAAAGGGCATGCAGGGGCTTAACCACTGAGCTATACTATATTACTGGAGGACCTGCTCGGGATAAAAAGGTGTCGCCAAAAACATGGCGGATCTGACGCCATTGCCATGACTACTGGTCCCTAAATTCATGGCAACTACCACTGTCCCAACCGCGATCCTAAGCTTT